GGGGGGGGGGCATTAGAACCACTAAAGCATTTTGAATGAGACAAATAATAGCCTCAAGCCTGTGGAAGAGCAAAGGTGAAAGATTAACTGATCTTTGTCATAAGTCCCAATCCTGTATAAACAGGTAAACCTCCGAGTAAACCAGATGCCGGACCAGTCCAGCGGTGGACCTTTAACTTAATTATCTAGAAATCATTGCGGTGAATCTTAAACTAAACCGGCACCTTTATAGTTCTGGGCTAGGTTTGAACGGGATATCTGGCCGTGAACGTTTTCCTGTCTTATGCTATCAGAGACGTGTAGTATTGTTTAAATTACTATAAGGGTCTAAACAAAATGCTTGCAGTAGTATGTGTTCTGAGGGGGATATTTGTAATTGAGGTTAAGCATATTGTTTATCTTATTATTCGGTATTGTATCAGGCAGTTGCGGTGAACTAACTAGGTGGGTGGTTGGCAGGTGCTCTGGTGTGGTTTGCTTCTTCTTTCCTATCCAACATCTATCGTCCTTATCTCCCCTCCTTCTTTTTTATGTTTGTTACTCTCTTGTAACACCTCTCTGGGATCCCTGGGCCTAACGAAGAGCCCTGTATAATCACAGAGGGCAGAGGGAACATCTTTGAATAACTTGAACTTCCAGCTATTTACATCTTGCGTCTTTTCAGACGTGTGGGCAGATCGAAAATTTATTAATTTCTTACTGTATTTACTTCGTAGATTTCAATTAAGATAGTCCATTTTCAGGAGGTCTGCCCGCAATACAAATTAAAAGAAAACAAACGTATATCTTATTAAGAGACTAATTGATGTAGTGACCCTGCTACTTGGTAGAAGTGACGACCTGTGTATTTTGATTGTGATCTCGAATGTAAATATAATAAGAGTAGAGGAATTATAACCTTCATTGACGCCATAGACGACTGACATGATGAAGATTCAGCTTTGGGCGCCAGGGTTGAGGTGCTGACATAGCAGTGACGGACTTCAAGAGGGACGTACAGGACATCGTACTCGTAATAATGAATCAGGACTAGAACTTGTCTACCCGGGAACACCAAGCCTGTGGGACATTGACCATTGGGTTTTGTTTCTAACAGTCTGCTGTGCATCTGCTACTTCTCGCCACGTGTGTACGTGAGGGTTTTTTGCGTCTGGACACACCGTAGAGGCTTGTAGCGGACTCCTTTTTTCAATAACATGGCAAGCGAAGGCACTTACATCCTTGGCCACAGCCAGGTGAGCATACATATTAATATATATATATA